ATGTCTCTCTCATTTTCTCTCTTTCTCTCTTCTTCCTATCTCTTTTCTATCTCTCTCCTTTCTTCTCCTTCGTCTGGGTGAACACGTAGCTTAGTCGACCTCCCTTCTTCGGTGCTGGGTGAACATGTAGCCCAGTTATCATCACAAGGCCATCACAGGTACCGTCCGACAGGGTGAGGACTTAAAATACTAATACCTCCAAAACACAAAACTGTCCACGCAAGGGTGAAGACTTCTACAAGATCCCTCAAAAGTCTCTTCTCCCCCCAAAGTTTCCACGGTTGGACCTGCGACAAATGCATCCAAATGTTTGAGCATCCTAGTTGCAGCATTGCGTGGATATCTCCTCGGCATTCACGTGGTCCTGTGGCTAGGAAGAAAAAAGTAATAAAGACGAAGGAAATTTTTCAAATGTTGTCCTTCTCGCTTCTCTTGAAGCACAACATTCAGCGGGGCAAGCTGTTTGAAGACATTTTTCAGCACCTTAGGTCCCCGATGCGGAATAAAAGAGAAGCCGGTCAATAAAGCCCTGACTTACAGTGGAATTTTCGATAGTCTCAGAATTGCCCCAGAGCAGTAAAAATGTTCCTAAGCACTTCAAAAGGGAACCTGCCAAGTTTCGTCACAATCTAACATGTCTACGGCAGTGCAAACAAAGAAACAATTTCAGACGAATCAGCCTCTAGCGCCTTGAAACGGACCCTATAATTGGAACCCTACTTTCAGAGCGTCCAATGGCTATGGGACCATCGCTATTGGATCTGACACGGTAAAAAACGCCTAGGGGTCGAGTTTTGGCTTAAACAGATGTTCCAAGACAAAGTTATGGGTAAAAGAATGAAAAAGCAGAGGTCGCACGCTATTCTCGTGCGCCCTCCCTGCACCAATCTCCATTAAAGGAGACTGGTTTTCACTGTCACGACCAGCATATTTGAAGACCCATATTTCCTTTGTTTTGAGCCGGATCGTGCCCAAATTTTGTGAGCGTGTTCGTTTCATCAAGACGAGCGTTTTGATATGTGGCACGTCCCATGACGATGTCCGAGCAGGGAGAAAAGCTAGAGAGAAGACGATTCATGATCAAGGTTGCAGGAAATCAGCAGTAGCACGACCCACTCGAGCCGCCATATCATGGCACTTGTGTACCCGATAGAGGCGAAACCAGTTGCATTGCGTGCGTATGGTCCAGGGTCATGTTTAGTCCGGACACCGCGCATGATGAACGGTTAGATATGGCGCACAAAAATTTTAAAGTTGCTGTAGAATTCCGGCCGCTGGAATCCAAGTTTTGGCCAAAAACCCAAAATTGCAAAATCTTCGTTCGGGTACGAAATCGAGCTGCATTTGTTGCAACGCGATCGTAACGGCATGCTCAATGCAATTCAATGAAAAAACCAAGAAAATACATCCAGAAACGAGCGCACTATAGATTCGAAGTTTCCAAGATTTGTGCAAATTTCATGTCACTTGATTGTGGCCTAAAAACACGATCCGTGACTCGAAATTAGTATCAAATTGATTGTCATACCGAGCCCAACAAGAAAGTGATCATCTTTTGATCAAACAGGCGCCGGAGCAACCCCGAATTGGGCTAGGAAAGTAGCATACGTTGATCTGCTTTGAAATTTTGTGTATTGATGGGTAGGGGAAAAATCGTCATTTTGCCCCCATTTTTAGATTTATTTTAATTCAAATAAATTGTAATTATCATTAATTAAGTTAGATTTTGGGCATCGACCCATGTTTTGGACCCAAGTCAATATAAACCACGCTATACCTTATTGTAATGGACCTTCAGTTTGATGAATAAAATTCCGAATTAAGCTTTAAGAGTGAGGGCCACGTCCAGGAGAGAGAGAGAGGAGAGAGAAGAAAAGTCTGGTACCCCTAGGTGAGGGTAATTCTCTCCCCTCCTCTCTTCTCTCTCCTCTTCGTTCTTTCTCTCTCCTCTTCTTTCTCTCTCCTCTCCTTTTTTTCTCTCCTCTTCTTTCGCTCTCAATACCTTCCATGGAACTCTTGGTGCCTGGTTTTCGATTTGGAGTTTCCTCAAATGTGACATGCTCTTCAACTCTTCTAATCTGCAAGCTTTCTTGATGTTATAATCTACCAATTGCAGATCCTTCAATATTTGAAGATTTGAAAGCTTCCCGAGTCCATGAGGCAAGTATTTTAACTCCCGACGCTTCCAAATGCTTTAGATTCTCTAATTTAGTGATTTGTGGTGGTAGTTTTCTGACACCACTTCCATTGAGAATCAAGATCTGGAGGTTCTTGAGCAGGACTATGGATTCTGGCAACTCTCTTAAACCTGAAAGACCTCTTCCAGTAAGATAGGTTAGTTGTGGGAGAAATCTTATGCAATCCAAAGAGTGCTTAACACCAAAAGCTGTATGGAAGCGATTCAAATCTAACACCCTTTGAAACCAGAGTTTGGAAAGCAAGCTCTTTGGTAATTCACAAGCTAAGACTATCGATCTTTGCTTCATATGGATATTAGAAATCCTCATGGTTTGGTTGCTATTAACGACTAAAGACGCCGAGAATTCAAATCAAACACTGGGGTGCCACTCTCATCGAAGCTGCAGAATGACTCATCATTTGTATTCTTGATTACGATTTCACGCACGAGATTATGTAATTTGGATATGTAAACCTTTTGGCCAAACACTCCCTTGTTCACGGCCTTCACCAAATGCCTACTCACCAAATCCATTTGGCGACCGGGTCCAATCTCCTCGAGATCTTTCCATTCTCATCCTTGACAAACCCCTCACGTATCCACCAATGTATCAACTTTCTCTGATCAATTTCATATTCTGAAGGAACAATTGAGGAACAAAGGAAGCATGGCTCCAAGTAAGTTGGCAGCTCATTATAACACATCTAGAGAACGGAGCTGCAAGTTTCATTCTTTAGCAAATTCCACCTCTAAATCATCCACAACTCTTCTCCATTTACGTACAGAAGCAGATTTGCATTGCACAATCCCTCCCATTACCTTGATAGCTAATGGAATTCCTCTATACTTCTCGACCATCTTTATACCCACTTCCTCTAATTCGGGAATTTCACACTTGCCAATGGTTGCTGCAAAAGCAATCCCTTTGAACAAGGACCAGCTCTCCTCTCTCAGAAGTGTTGTAGCAAATTGTATTTGTCTCTTTTGTGCTCCCATTTTCACAGCGATATCCCCTCATCTCGAGTGGTGACTAGGATCTTACAACCTTTCGCATTTCGCCATCCAGGCACCACATGGCTCCACCAAAGACCATGATTGTTCATCACATCATCAAATATTATCAGATACCTATCCATCCGAGCATCTATATTCCAAGTCACATATGATATACCTCAAATTCTCATGAAGGTTGCGTATTAACTCCTTTGTCGAGAATCCATAGGAGCCACGGCCCCTAATTCAAACAACTTGTCAAACAGGTTCTTTCCTTTGAGTATATTGGGCCTATGTGCCCAACTCATATAGAAAAAATGATCTCTGACCTCTTCATCACTGAAGAGCTTCTCAGCAACAGTGCTTTCCCCAAGTCCATCCTCGCTTACTATTGCAAGTACAGTTAATTCATCATTCTCTTCTAATAACCATTTCTTTAAGTTTTCAACATCGGAATTCAAACTAGCAATGGGCTGTTCAACCCAAACTGGTGTATTTGATAGTGGATGTTTGGTATCCTCTTCATGCCCCTCATTTCCTTGATTTGCAGGAAAGGAATGCAATTTTATTATTTCCTCAATATCATTGAACCTTTTATATATCTTTCCCAACCTCCTTGCCCAAGTTTGGTGCAAAGCAAATTTGCAGACTATGCACTCCGCGTCACTGAAAACCGATTCTGGCTCCAACCACGCTGTCCCTTTGTTTTGTTGGGCCTCTAATTCATCAAGGATGTTGTCTGTGTTATAAACCAATTCTAGGATCCCACAACTTATAGTTCGGAGCAAATCTCTTTCAATTTTTGTACCATTACCCTTGACACTGAGAGAGTTATGCATGTGTTGAAGCCCTTCCTTTATCTTATGCAACGCTGGTTCAAGACCTTATAAGCGATGAACATGCTGGGATGAATCAATGTTTAGTTTGTCCATCAAACCAACTAGGGCGTCCCCCATTAATTAGTGATGAAATTTTATGATTTCAATATATACTAGATATCTAATCAATGAATCAAATGACTATGATCCTTGAGATATGGTTTTTGCAATGAAACAGAGACATGGGCTCTTGAAAGATACTAGAACATAGAGATTCATCACTTACCTGTGCCAATATTTTCAAAGACACATTTTTCTTGAAGCTAACATGGTGGCTGATATTCTTGCAAAGAGGGCTACGTCCTAATTAGAAACTACTATTTGGCATTCTCGTCCGCCTGATTTCATTTGTCTTGCTTTAATTCATGATTTGGCGCAGGTGCCCTGTTCTAAGTGTTGTAAAGTAATGAGCTGTAGACTTTCTCTTTTTATTTATTAATGAAAAACGGGTAGGGGCCTTCTCCCTACTTACCAAAAAAAAAAATTTTTTTTCAATGACATACATCCTTGAAAAACAATAACATTCATGGCGATGAATGCTCTATAGGACTCTAGAAAATGTAAAATTAGATTTGTCTTCCACCCTGCTTGTGCTCTTAATTTTTTGGATGACTTAGTATTAAGATTACCCAACGTAATTAAAACAGTAGAAAAGGGAAAATATCTAAGAATGCCCCCTTCTGGACAAACTTGATTGAACATGGGGAAAAATAAGTCCAGTTAAAATTTGACTGTTAAATACATGTAACAGATGGGCATATTTGGAGTTTTGGGTTTTTGCTGTCAAGCCATTTGTCAATACTAATCAACCTATTACTTTTTCTGTTTAATTTATTAATTGTTATGCCCCAAGGTGTTTGTTCTATACCTAATTTATATTGTAATTATTTTGGTTTTGGAACGTTGTGAGGGACTTGTATTAATCCTTTTGATTTGACTATTTGTACCAGGGTTTAAAAAATAGTGGCATTTGCGGTCTTGAGAGAATCCTATCTCCCCCTCAAGGCTGAGAGAGAGAAAGAGAGAGGGGAGGGAGGGTTAAGTTTGATTCAGGTGAGGAATTGAGAATCTATGAATGGCTCAGCCCTTGTAAAACTCCTACTCCAGCGCTGCGCCACCGTAAACCACCTCAAACAAGTCCATGCCCATCTCATTGCCCACGCAAACAATGATCTCTTTACACTTGGCCGCCTTCTCAACCTCCTCTGCAACTCTCAATCTCTCTCCTATGCTCAGTCCTTTTTCTCTAGCATCCCTAAACCCAACACCTTCCTCTTCAACACCATCATCAGAGCCCACACAACTGGTCCAAACCCCCAGAACTCTATCTTCTTGTACATTGACCTCCTCAAAGCTGGCATCTTGCCTGATGCTTACACGTTTCCCTTCGTTCTCAAAGCTTGTGCTCGGTTTCAGGCCTTACAAGAAGGTAGAACACTTCATTGCCACGCGCTCAAATTTGGGTTTGATTCATATTTATATGTGGGCAATGCTTTGATCCACATGTATTCATTTAGTGACTGTCTTATCGGTGCACGACAAATGTTTGACGAAATGGCTCTTAGAGATTTGGTTTCTTGGAATTCAATGATTAACGGATATGCCAAGTGTGGGGATCTTGAGGAAGCGAGGCGCTTGTTTGATTTGATGGGGGAGAAGAATTTGATCACTTGGAGCGCGATGATATCGGGTTATGTCCAAATGGGTCAGTTTAAAGAGGGATTAGATGTGTTTTATGGTTCACAAGCTTGTGGGGTTAAGCCACATGAATCAATATTAGTCAGCGTGCTTGCGGCTTGTGCTCATGTTGGCGGGATAGAGCAAGGGAAATGGGTGCATGCTTATGTGAAAGCTAATGGCATGCACATGAGTGTCATCATGGGTACGGCTCTCATGGACATGTACGCGAAATGTGGGTGCTTAAACCTGGCTTTAGATGTGTTTCATAGCATGCATGAGAAGAATCTAATGGCATGGACAACTATGATCAAGGGGATGGCCATGCATGGCCATGGCACTGAGGCACTAGAGCTCTTCACTCAAATGGAGGAGGAGGGTGTGACCCCAGATGATATAACTTTCATCGGGGTTTTGTGTGCTTGCACCCATGCTGGGTTAGTAGACAAGGGGCTTCATTATTTTAAGTCTATTAGTGAAGTTTATGGAATTTCCCCTAAAATTGAGCATTATGGGTGCCTAGTTGATTTACTAGCTAGAGGTGGGCGGCTACAAAAGGCGTTATGTGTTATTAAGGACATGCCTATGGAGCCTGATGCTCGAATATGGGGGCCTCTGTTAGCAGGTTGTCGATTTAATGGAGAGGTTGAGTTAGCTGAGCTTGTTGCTAATCACCTCATTGAGCTAGAGCCCAATGATAGTGGGGTTTATGTCCTCTTAGGTAATATATATGCAGCTTCAGGTAGGCATGAAGATGCTAAGAAATTAAGGATTTTGATGAGTTCTAAAGGGGTGGTGAAGAACCCTGGTTGTAGTTTATTTGAGTTAGAGGGCACTACACATCAGTTTATAGTGGGAGACACATCACATCCTCAAATGAGAGAGATACAAGAAAAGTGGGAAGAGATTGAGAGGGTCATCAGGGTGGAAGGTTATGTGCCTAATAGGACCCAAGTTTTGCTTGATGTTGAGGAGGAGGAAAAGGAGGAGGCGCTATCTTGGCATAGTGAGAAGATGGCTATTGCATTTGGGTTGATGAGAACCAAGGGTGACCATGTTATACGTATAGTGAAAAATCTTAGGGTTTGCAGTGATTGTCATCATGTGACAAAATTGATCTCGAAAGTTTATGGTCGGCAGATTGTTGTGAGAGATCGCACTCGCTTCCATCATTTTAAAGAGGGACAATGCAGTTGCAATGATTATTGGTGAAGGGAAGGGTTGTTTGGGCAGGATTTTGCTTTATGGCTTATGCCTTTTTAAGTAATATAACACTATTTAGTATTTAGTTATGGATGCAGTTTTTATAAGCCTAGGCTTTTTGAAAACAAAGTAAATCCTTACCTTGAATCCTTATTCAGAAAGCTATTTGGGCATTGGGAAATCTTCATGATGGCTCTAAAATCAATTTCATGCCGATTATGAAATTTGAAGCTCAAAAAATGGTATATATCTTGTGGATCTTCAAACACTTACCTAGCTCATCTCTATGCAAGCCCATTCCCCTCTCTCTCTCTCTCTCTCTCTCTCTACTCTACCTAATCCACCTCTATCTCTGTACTAGATCCCCTTCTCTCTCTCTCTCTCTTTACCTATGCCCCTTCTCTCTCTTTCTTTACCTAGGACTCTTCATTTTCCTTTAGTAATTTCAATTTAATCTCATGAGCTATGGTTTTTTTTATGGTTCATAATATAAAAAATTATGATCTGATTTTTTTGATAGTATTAGAAAATGAAGATTATTTTGGAAGAATGATAGGTGAGCCCTGAATGATTCTCAAGTTCATTTTAGGAGAATGAGTTGATTTCTATTGAAAAACACAAATGGATCGTATTCTTTGTTAATTGTTAGCTGATGCTTTTTAGATATTTATGAATAGTGAGCTCTTTGTGAATTGATTCTCATTGAAATTGAAAAGAGTTTTTTGATTGATTCTTGTGAATGAAATGTACGACTTGCTATGTAATTTTTTGGATATTGAAGCTTTGTTACCTATCACGTGCTTGTGGATATCGCCAAGTGATCTTTCAGTGCTTATTGCTTCATTTGTTGGTATTTTTTATTTGGTCTTATCTTGTTCGTATTACATCATGTATTGGCGCTTCATTAAGTTATGTAGTAGTGTTGTTGATCTACAATAGTTTGTGAATATTTATGAACGATTACTTGATCTTTCAATTGTCATCCTTATTGATGTCTTGGGTGTTTGAACTCATGTTTGATATGGTTTGTATGCAATTTCTAGTTTTTAGTTTGTTTAAGCTTCTCATATTGGTACTTTCGCAATTTGAATGAATTGATAATGAAATGAAGTCATCATATTCCCATCTCTTTGCTTGAATTGTTGGAAGCCAACGAATCTGATGATGATAAGCTTTAATTACATGAACTTTGAGCATACATTCGAAGATTGGTACTAACAGGGTGGATTTACTTGACATTAATTTAGAATCACTATTTTGTGAAGGACCCGGTTTCTATGCGGCCAAGACCGCATATGTAGAAATACTGGCCTTTTAATAAATCTATTTTTGAGATGGATTTTAAGACTTAATTTTTAAGGACATGTAATCTCTAACATGGAGATCATGAATATGAAAAAATAAATAAATATTTAAAACTAGAAATAATAATTCTAGTTAAAAAACATTTGGACCGTTAGTTTGCATTGTTTTTAGATAGAACACCTACTTGCATCCATCTTTATGATGGATGCTTTACACTTCCTGTACCCCATATGTAGAAATGTGGTCCAGCCTGTATGAAACAATTTTCCTTTCGTGAATGAGCAAGATCACTGAAAATTAGCATAAATAGTTTGTTTAAAGGGGGAGAGGGAGAAAACCTTTTTTAACAAATTTACAATCTTTACCATCCATTATCTAAATAATGACATGGATAGGTTATATCTAAAAATTGTCAATCAAAATATAAGTTTTAGCCCCTAAACTATGAGTTTCATAATTAACAACTAAATCAGTGGTTTCCAGATTTCCAGGTTAGCAAACATGTGGAATTACTAGTAGCAGACTTCCTGGGTTTTCACAGGTAGGTTACCAAACAAGGGTTCTCAGCTTCCAACTACTAGTTTTCTACTTTTACCTTTTTCAAGCTCCTAGTTTCTCAGAGTTCTTCAGGAAAACAATTTTCTTAGTTAGCAAACAAGGCCTTAATGTTAGTGAATTTTGATGAATTGTTTTCCTTTTCTAGTTGGATGGAACAGGAAATGAAATTTAGGTGATTTTCACCAAAATTTTAGTGAAATTTTCATGTTTTCCATCTCATCTCTTGATGAAACTTAAGGATGAAATTTTGGTGATAAGATTGCCTAACTTGTGACTATATCTCTCTACCTTATTTGCTGAGACAAGGGCCTATCTAAATTTTCTGGTTCCCTCTACAATAGTCATATAGCGATAATTTGAGGAAAAAAAAGAAAAGAAAACCCATATCAATATGAGAAAATGAGTTATTTGTGCAACATTAGTGCTTTGATGTTTGTTTGATTTCACCTGTTTCCTTCTAATTCAAAACACTCATCGTCTTCCACGGTTTCCAGTTGCCTTTGGTCATATTCACCAAAAAAAAGTCTTCTAAACCTACAAGCTTACCTCCTTAACCTCGACGGTAATTTGTAGAGTTGGCAAAGGACCAGCTGCCCAGCCTGGCCTTGAAAAATTAGGCACTTATGCCACAATATGTGGTCCAGGGACCCGGCCACCAAGGCTGGGCTGGGCCTGGGCCAATGCCACAGCAAAGTGGGCCCTTCTTTCCTTCTTTTTTTTTTTTTGGTTTCTTTTTTTTTTCTGTAGGTCTATTAGGCTTGCCCCAGCCTGAACAGGATGAGGGTTGGGTTTGGGCTAGGGCCTCTTTTGCTAAAGCTAGGCTGGCCCAAACTCTGGCGGCCCTATAGGCACTAGTGCGGGAATAGCACCCTGGTGTGAATTAGGGCTGGCCCACTACCTGCTGTCCATGGTCCCAAAGTGTACTAAACAATAAGGTTAAGGAAAATATGATTTGCATCAAAGAAAAACTAGAGAATAGCATACAGTCAGGGGTCAAACTTACTCTCAGTTGAATAACAGTTCAAAGCTTTTATATTAAAACTGAATACGAAAAGAGTTCTAACCACTCATGAGCAGCTTGTTTCATTTACATCGAATTTTTATACTGAAAGAAACACGTGATTCATACATAGGGCTACCAAGAGTCTTAAGGAAAAAAATAATTGCTGGCATAAGACACTAGAAATTATAGAATTTCCATATACATTATTATCAAAGGGCTTCTAGTTGACTCTTCCTAGGAGCTTTCTTTTTCTTTTTCTCCTTGTGTGTATGTGTGTGAAAGTTATCGCAATCACTGCATAGAGTAAGTTCTGTGAATGCCTTACCTTCAAATCAATGAGATGTGGCTCGATATTGAAGTTCACACTTCTTTAAATCATTTTCAAGCACCCCTCTGCAAATGAAGAGTTTTTATCAAAGCAATCGTTCTTCTTAAAATCCATCCTCCTTGAATCTTCTTGCTTATAGAGATATGAAAGCACATGTTCCCAAAATTTTACCTGTTTGGCATCAAAATCACATGATATAGAGTCGAGATAGTTGAAAGGCGGCAGCAAGGCCATAAAATCTGGGCCCTTGATCTTCGTATCACTCTTATATGTGGAAGTATCTAATTCATAATGGTCACCAATTTTGATCCATCATTAGAATGTCCATCTAAAGGCACCTGTGGCACTTTTTAACCAAAAATTTTGCTTTGTGGCCCAAGAAGTTCGTAGAAACTTGATAATCTTTATCCAATCTTGAGTTTATCTCATAAAAATGGATATATTCTTCTGGGAAATCATCTTTAATTACTTTCCTTATTTTTATATATTGGATTCTGTCTAAATCATGAAGGACTATGGGCTTGAACTTTGAAAAAAGAAAGTTCTTTCATGCTTACCCTAATCTCATCAATCTAGCATCTGCATGAAGTTGCAATGGTTTTCATGGACATTAGGTACTGATTCTAAAGCTGTGACGCCCAACTAGGCTATGTGTGAGCTATTGTGGTTTTCAAAACCACATCATATCTTCCAATCATTAGGAAATTTCAGCAACATGCTAGTGAGGTCATACCCAAGCTTTCCTTCAAATTTTAGCTGATTTGGATTTTATATCAGTCCAATTCAAAAGTCATCCATGAGCATCCTTCGTCCATATCTTTGGATTGCAGAAAATCTGGATCACCCCTAAAACCTTTTCCAAATCTAATTAAATTTCATGGATAGCTTTAGAAAACCTTCATGAAGCATCTAACCGCGACTGGAACCATTCAAACATCATTTGGTCCTCTTCTGGAAAGTTTGCCGCGAGCCTTGATGCGCAACACAAATGGTTCACAATGAACTCTAGAAATCCATCAAAATGCAACATAAATAGCTGAGTTTCTACGGTGTAGCCTTTTATTTTCTGGATCCCCAGATTTTCAACTCATTTAGAAGTTCTTAACCATGGCTCTTTTCTAATGCTATGGACTCGATCTGAATTCTGTCATAAAACACACCCAAATAAATGTCCCCCAAAAAATGCACCTGGGTCATTATAATGAAAAAATTAAATAAATCTTGTTAAATCTAAGTATAATTTCATTTTAATGAAATAATTAAATCTATTTAAATAGAAACGAAATAATTTCAATAAATTAAAATACATATTGAAATTCAATGAATTTATAAATTTAATTGGAAAAAATAAATATTCATTTGATTAATCCATTAAATGCATTGCAATGTGTAACACTCTGCTTATTTTAGGTTATCTTATCGGGTTTTCTAAGTTTTAAATAATCCTACTCAAAGGGTCTGTTTGATAACTGAAAGCAAGTTCAGGAACTGTAAATTGGAAGTTCTTAAGTTCTGTGAACTTAATAAGTTCCTAGTTTCTGTGTTTGATAACCTCACTGAGAAGTTAAAAAGTTCTTGGTTTCTGTGTTTGATAATCTCCTGGGAAGTTAAGAAGTTCTTGGTTTCTGTGTTTGATAACCTCTTGGGAAGTTAACGAAGAACTGGGTATCTGTATTGGATTAGAGAAAAGATTGGCTTTCATCCCATTAGCAAGAGTTACATTTTTCATATGTCCACCACGAACACCACATGAGAAAATTGCATTTTGGTTTCCAAATCGGCCTATAGTCCTTACCAAAAGAAATATCATGGGGCAGATGTCATCTTGAAGTTTTCCAAAATCAGTGGCAGTCATGTAATTTTTATAAAACGCATGTCATTTTGAAGTTTCCTAAATCAGTGGCAGTTATGTAACTTATTTTCTGTTTCTTTTTTTTGCAAAGAATAGGTGCACATAGTTTCTTTTTGGCAAAGAAGTATGGACATGCGTGAAGACAAGCAAAATCCATAGAGAAGTCTCTATCTGATTCTTGTAACAATTTTTTGTTTGCACGATTTTGTTTTTGTGCATTCACTTTTTCAATATATTTTTTTTGACAACTTTTCTCAAAATATATAGTACTTATAAACAGCGAAAAGAAAAATGCAAAATGTTTCGTATCATGGCATTGGAACCAAAGATCTTCAAAAAAAAAAAAGAAAATGTAAAATGCAGAATATAGAATAAATTCACTAATCAATGAACATTTCAAGATTTGCATGCTATGTGGCCCAATGGATAAACTGCGAGTGAAGTTTGAGAGTCAGAAGTGCACAAAAATATGCAAGACACTTGGGGTCAAAATATTGAAATTCTATGGAGGCAAATATTTTAGAAAAAAGATGTTTAATATCCAATGCACTACAGAAAACTATATTCCATCGGGATAATCCACATTTGATGAAATTATGAGTGGTGATGAAGAGGTAGGACCCACCACTGTGATCATATCCTGTTCTAGGGGGTTCTTGTCCCTCTTTATACCATTTATCATTTCATTGGATGAGGACCACCCCATGTAAGATGCAAATGAGTAGCCATTAGATATATTATACACTTCCATTCTAGAGATGTAATAACAAATCATAACATGTAATAACTTCAGCATTGATGTATCTGTATCAAGCAACATTCACAATTGATGCGTCCA